ATATTTAATAGGTCTTATATTTTTTATCTTGATTAAAGATTTAAATTTTTTTCTTCTGATTATTTTCTATTTTTTTTGAAAATATTAATTTATTTGGATTATGATCTATAGAATATAAACCGAATGAATAGAAGCATGGTCTAGAAATTATCTAAGCATCCCTTTTTATATTTATGAATAATTCATTTATTTAATGATTATCGAATTTTATTGATGGTTCACTCTAAGATTTGATAACTTTAATATCCATAATCACTTAGCAGATTCATAAAAATAAATAAGTTCTGTTCCTTTGCTTTTAAAACTTAATAAATTTAGAACATATTCTTATCTAGCTTACTTATCATATTTATAAAATTGATAGGACATAATACAATTATTTTTTTAAAAGGGCTTAATTAATCTTATTATTGGACTATATTTCTAGGGAGACTAATCAAATCAGTTTATGGTGTGGGAGGTTAATTGATTTATGTTGGAGTTAGGCAAAGAAATGAAAATATTTGAGTTTTCCTTTATAATGTTAATTAGCTAAAAAATCTCTAATAACAATACCTCTATATATATATCCACCTACGCAAATAAATATTTTTTCTCTTATTTATAAGCCTTAATAGTTTAATTTAAAATTATGCCAATCAGTTAATAAGAGTAATCGAACCTGATTTATATGGTTTAAATTTACAAGAATGGTAGGTATATAAATATACTTAAATGTAGACTTAGAGAATTAGAAGTTGGGTTTTTTTAAATAAACGCCTACAATGGTTTATAACTTTCTTATACTCAGTAACATATATTGCAAGCAAGAAGTGTTTAAGAATCCTATGCAGGAGGATGGGTTAATTAATTTTACTTAAGAAGATATTCAATATTTATCGTTAGTTCACCTTTTTTAAAACAGTTTATGCCTCTTTATATCTGCTTAAGACCCCTCCTAATTTTCAGAAGATATAAATTGGAAACTTTAGAACTGAAAAACAAAAAAGAACACAAAAACTTACAAAATTATATAAAATAGACAGATGAAGAAGATTAGTTACAAAAGATTTTGAATTGCTATTATTATTACATAATCATGTTAAGGAGCATATACTAAGACTCTCTCTAATTATATTTGATAATTTTCAATTTCAAACTCTAGTAACCTTTAAACTGTTATCATATCTATTTTCACTTTAATTATATCAATCACTTTTTCTGCTTAAATATTTAAATCTTAATATGATCAAAAGATCCTTATTAATTATGGAATAGAAATTTTTAAATTAATTCTAAAACTATTCGGAATCTAGTTCTTATATTTTAAATTAGTTAACCTATCAATAATTTAATTTTTTTCTATTTTAGTAAGCCAATTGCAATTTAAAAAAATTGTCTTATTATTTAAATAAAATCTGTTTTAATATTCTTAAATTGAATTCTACACAAGTCTCTTAATGTTGAGGTAAAGAATTATTATATAAATTTCATAATTCAATTATAACATCATCTTCATTTCACTACGAATCCAATTTCACTTTTTGGTTAATTTTTTAATTCGAATCTATTATTATTTAATGTGGTTCTTGATTTGAAAATTTCAAATGCTTCAATTTTTGAATGATTCTCTGTGTATATATATGTTGATTTTGACTATTTAATACACAAGTTCCAATTTTTACTTTCTTCTCCTAACATTACAAAAAATATTCTTATGAATTTTATCCAAATAAGTCATTTGCATATACAATATAATTAATGCTTATAAAATAATATTTCTATTTTAATTCTCCAGAAATTAGTCTAAATAAATATTGAATAAAGATGGGAATATGGGTAAGCCCTCAACAACTCCATTTAAAAATCAGTATTTCATTTTTTTTTATTGTATTTGTTTAAATTAACAATTTATCTTTTCTCAAAAAAATTATAGAGAGAACTTAAAACTATCGCGCCTATAAATTTCTCCTTCCTTCATTTTGGAGCACAATATACTTAATTATTTAATCTATTAAAATTCAAACCCTATCTATTCCTTATTTTAATTATTCTCTACTATATCTTTTGGTGTTATTGAAAGGGGAGATTTAAATTCTTTTTATTTTAGTAATGTTAATCAAATTTATTATCCAATTTTAGATTGATAC